TGTTAAATGTTGTGGGTTTACTCTCCAACACGCAAACCGGTGTTGCCGTTCTGTTTACGCGACGCAACCTTAACCGATTGACTGTGTCGGGGTGGTGGCGGGTTTAACGACGCGGTCATATGAACGCGATCAAAGGGGCCGTCCATAAATGACGTCACGCGATTTTGGACGATTTTTGACCCCCTCCCCCCTTCGTCACAAAAAGTCAGAACCCCCCCCCCCCTCAAATGACGTCACAAAGCTCTGCCCCCACCCCCCAAAAAATAAAACATGCTTCAAATCGCTTTAAACTATTGTAATTGTAGTGCGTTATTTAATGTGGCGCTGCACTCTGATGTTGTAGGAGAAAACATTTATCATAAAGTATATTTAATTAAGTAAAACGTGTCGACTATATTTATTTAAAGTTGCGCATTTTGATGTGACGTCACATTTCTCAAACCCCCCCTCCCCTCGTCACACATCGTCACAAATGTCTGACCCCCCCCCGCCCCCCGGTGCGTGACGTCATTTATGGACGGCCCCAAAGGTGGAGTCCACGCCTCATGGGTGAAGGATGACGGGGGGGGGAGGGGGCATGGGGCCAGCTACGTCACGCACTGTACAGGGGGGGGGGTGACCCTGCTAACGAGATGAGAACCCCCCTAATCCACCCCCACCCCCACCCCCCCGCCACCTGCCAAACGCCAATCACCACCAGCATCGCCCCCCCCCCACTCCCTCTCCCATCGCCGGTCCCCTAGCAACACCGGCGGTCAATTAATTCCCATGGCAACCAACATCCTTGCCATGCATCATCATCATCATCAACACTCGTCTTGCCCTGGACCCTTCTCCCACCTCCTTCATGTCTCCTCCCTCCCCTCTCCCCTCATCTCTCCTCCCTCCCTCTCTCTCCCTCCTCATGGCTCTCCCTTTCTCCCTCCCTCCCCTCTCCTCCCTCCCTCTCCTCCCTCCCTCCCCCATCCCTCCTCATGGCTCTCCCTTTCTCCCTCCCTCCCCTCTCCTCCCTCCCTCTCCTCCCTCCCTCCCCCATCCCTCCTCATGGCTCTCCCTTTCTCCATCTCCTCCCTCTCCTCCCTCCCCTCTCCTCCCTTCATCTCTTCCCTCTCTCTCCTCCTCCTCTCCCCGCCACCAGGATTGTGGGGGGGATTTAGAAATCCGCGGAAGCTCCCCAACACCGCAGGGGCAGGATTGTGGGGTGAGGGGAGGATTTAGAAATCCGCGGAAGCTCCCCAACACTGCAGAGGCAGGGTTGTTGGAGGGGTGGGGGAGATTTAGAAATCCGCGGAAGCTCCCCAACACCGCAGGGGCAGGATTGTGGCGGGGGGGGAGGATTTAGAAATCCGCGGAAGCACCCCAAAACCGCAGGGGCAGGATTGTGGGGGGGGGGATTAGAAATCCGCGGAGGCTCCCCAATACCGCAGGGGTAGAATTGTGGGAGGGATGGGGGGATTAAATAATCCACGGAAGGGGCAGGGTTGTTGGAGGGGGGAGAGACACCCACGAACGAATCGTCCGATTCGTCCACGTACGGCCACGATTCCGGGGGGGTCAACGATTCCACTCAAGGGATTTTATTATATTTGTGCTGCTGCTGCTCTTGTTGTTGTTCTGCAGCGATTGAACTGCCCGTGTTGCGGGCAGTGTGGCGTCGAAATGCGGAGACGGAGCGGTGGCGCAGCGGTTAGCGCGCTGCGTGATTTTCACGAACCCGGCCACGACCCGAGTTCGATTTCCAGCTCGATTATCTGCGCCAAATGAGTACCTGGTGCGGTGTGTAAACATCGCCACTAGGGGAGACAAAGGCGGCCGGGCGTGGTGCTGGCCACCCACCCCCTCGTGTGCCGTTCTGGCCTTCGTAGGTGCGACTCGCTCATAGCACTTGCCCCTACAGTCTGTTAAGGCTACACGGGGGAGATGTTTGTCTCTGCTTTTTTTGAAGCATTAATAATGCAAAAACGAGTACTCGATATCACCGCCGACGTTTCGAGCAAACACCCTCGTTCACAGCACGCACAGAGAGGCCAGAGTGGTGAGCGAGGCTCTTTCCAGCTACCTCTAGCGATGTACGCGCCCTGAAGGGCCATCGCCCGAAACGTCACCTGCCGCATGCTAATTCAATGTCTCTTGTTCAGGCCGCAGTGTTGTTGTTGTTGTCGTTGTTGTTGACACGTGGAGCGTGTCGCTGCTGTTGTTTGTGCACGGCGGTGGCGGCATCGCCGAAATAATTTCCACGGGGAAGGATTCGTTCGTAAAATAAAAAACGATGGGACGGACACAAAAATATAAAAAATGCGTCTTTCACCGACGTTCCATCGTCGACATCGTCACCTCGAATGGGTTTCACCGCCACCATGGCCAGTGGCGAGCGTAGCGGCCCACAAACAACAAAGATAAAGATCCCCCGTGTAGCCTTAACAGACTGGAGGGGCAAGTGCTGACAGCGAGTAGCAGCACCTATGAAGGCCAGAACGGCACACGAGGGGTGGGTTGGCCAGCACCACGCCCGACAGCCTTTGTCTCCCCCAGTGGCGATGTTTACACACCGCACCAGGTACTCATTTCAGGCTGGGTCGACCTAGGGGAGGACCAGGACCGGTTCAGATAATCGTCACTGGTGGTGTTGGCCGTGAGCGGGAATCGAACCCGGGTCGCCGGGTTCATAGCGCAGCGTAGCGCTAACCGCTGCACCACCGCTCCCCACAAACAACCCCCCCCACACATTCACACACTCACACATTCACACACTCACCACACATTCACACACTCACACATTCACACACTCACCACACATTCACACACTCACACAACATCGCGAAACAAAACCAGGGCGCCATTCCGTCAATAATGAGGGCCCACGCGATTTCTAAAATTAATTTCTTTCAAATAAAACTGGAGCCAAACTTTCGTTTCGGATTGGAATTGGTGAACATTTCCCACCCCCCCCCCCCCCCCAGATTTTAGCACCATCCTCGGTGAGTCTTGAGTCTCGGCGAGATTTCTCCAAACACCGTGCCGGATGTATCTGATTATCCAGGAAAAGCCGCCGCGTCATCATCACATGCCAACATCAAGCACTGCCAACCAACCAATTTGAATGGGGAGGTTCCTTAAACCATCATCACAGTTTCACAAACACCCCCCCACACACACGTCACTTGCCCTTCATCCTCGCCTCCGATTAACGCGGTTGGATACGTACGGCGCGAAAGAAGTTCCACGCAACAGACTAAACACCACATTTCCTCCCGAACACGATGATCGCATCGCCGACGTCGAAACACCATCGGAGTTCCACTTTGGTCTCCATTCATCACCACCACCGCCCGCAAATGCATCTCTAACCCGCTCATCGCGATGTGAACAGGCCATCCACCACCAACCATCACAATCCACAACCACCCAAACACGACCACAATATCTCACCTCCACCATAAAAAAAAATTGCCACCACCACCAAAGATAAAGCCCCCCCCCCGCCCTTCATAGCCTTAACAGACTGTTGGGGCAAGTGCTGTTAGCGAGCACCTATGAAGGTCGGCACGGCACACGAGGGGGTGGGTGGCCAGCACCACGCCCGACCGCCTTTGTCTCCCTCGTGGTGAAGTTCACTACGCACTGCACCACGTGCTCATTTGAATCCGAGTTGGTCGAGGGGAGGAAGCCCAGGACCGGTTCAGATAATCGTCACCGGTGTTTTTGGCCGTGAGAGGGTATCGAACTCAGGTCACCGGGTTCGTAGCGCAGCGCTCCCCAAATCAGCAAACCACACCACCACCATCAATCACCTCACCTCCATCAAGACATGTCTCCGCCCCATCATCACAACCCTCCACCAAACAGATGTATGTACCAATACCACCACGACCATCATTTCATCCCCGTTCGTGTAGGCCTCCCACCACCACAATCAGTGCTCAGCACCTACTAATCTCACCTCCATCCGAGGTCTCCATCACCACAACCAACCACCACTATCTCACCACCACGATCTCACCACAACCACACCTCCATCCCCGTAGGTCTTCACCACCACCAACATCTCATCATAACCACCACCCACCACCACTACTATCTCACCACCCACCACCACTACTATCTCACCACCACCACCCACCACCACCAATCTCACCACCACCACTATCTCACCACCACCACCCACCATCACCAATCTCACCACCACCACCCACCACCACTACTATCTCACCACCACCACCCACCACCACTACTATCTCACCACCACCGCCCACCACCACCAATCTCACCTCCATCCGAGTAGGTCTCCAACACCACTATCTCCCCACCACCACTATCTCACCACCACCACCCACCACCACCACTACTATCTCACCACCACCAATAATCTCACCTCTATCCGAGTAGGTCTCCACCACCACTACTATCTCACCAACACCAGCCACCACCACTACTATCTCACCACCCACCACCACTATCTCACCACCATCACGATCTGACCACCACCACTATCTGACCACCACCAATAATCTCACCACCACTACTATCTCACCACCCACCACCACTATCTCACCACCACCACCACCACTATCTCACCACCACCACCACTATCTCACCACCACCACCCACAAACACCACTCTCTCACCACCACCACCACCCACCACCAATAATCTCACCTCCATCCGAGTAGGTCTCCACCACCACCACTATCTCACCAACACCACTATCTCACCACCACCACTATCTCACCACCACCACTATCTCACCACCACCACCCACCAACACCACTATCTCACCACCACCACCACCACCCATAATCTCACCTCCATCCGAGTAGGTCTCCACCACCACCACCACCCATCACCACTACTATCTCACCACCAACACCACCTCACCACCCCACCACCAATCTCACCACCACCACTACTATCTCACCACCACCACCCACTCCCCACCACCACCACTATCTCACCACCACCACCCACCACCACCCACCCACCACCACCACCCATAATCTCACCTCCATCCGAGTAGGTCTCCACACCGTACCCGTCTTGCGCCCCGTTCCCCCAGGTGCCCTCGTAGCTGGCACCACCCGCTCTGGCACGCCTCGTCCCGTAGCGCCCCTTTGCACCCGTACGTCCACTCGCCCGAGTACACCCATCGGCTGCCCTTCTCCTCCACGCCGAGCCCGTGCCGCTTGCCCTGTGCCCAATGGCCCCGGTACGTGTTGCCGCTGGGCCACGTGTAGACGCCCTGCCACCTCGAAGCCGTGGCTCCACGAGCCGGCGAATTCACCCTGGCCATGGGGCCCCGTGCAGACGCCGTGACCGTGCGCCTTGCCCTGCTCCCAGCCGCCGCAGAACGCGCCACCATCGTCGAAGTCAAAGCGTCCGCCGGTCATACATGCGGCGTGGCGGCGTGGGGGAGGAGGCCTCGTGGTGGTGGTGGGTGGTGTGGTGGTGGTGTGGTGGGTGGTTGGCTGGGTGGTGGTGGTGGGTGGTGGTGGGTGATGGGTGGTTTTGGTGATGGCTGGTGGGTGGTGGTGGTGGCTGGCTGGGTGGTGGTGGGTGGTGGTGGGTGGGTGGGTGGTAGGTGGTGGCTGGCTGGGTGGTGGTGGTGGGTGGTGGTGGTGGGTGGTGGTAGTGGGTGGTGGTAGCTGGCTGGGTGGTGATGGGTGGTGGTGGTTGGCTGGGTGGTGGTGGTGGGTGGTGGTGGTGGGTGGTGGTTGGCTGGATGGTGGTGATGGGTGGTGGGTGGTGGTGGTGGCTGGCTGGGTGGTGGTGGGTGTTGGTGGGTGGTGATGGGTGGTGGTGGTGGGTGGTGGTGGTGGTGGTGGTGGTGGTGGCTAGCTGACTGGGTGGTGTTGTGGATGAGTGGTGGCTGGTGGTGTTCTGTAGAGTGGATGAGTGGGTGGTGGTGGTGTGATGTAGAGTGGGTGGGTGAGTGGTGGTGTTATGAAGAGTGGGTGAGTGGTGGTGTTATGTAGAGTGGATGAGTGGTGGTGTTGTGTAGAGTGGTTGAGTGGTGGTGTTATGTAGAGTGGGTGGTGGTGGTGTGATGTAGAGTGGGTGAGTGGTGGTGACGTGTTTGTGGCTGGTGGTGTAGAGTGGATGGGTGGTTGGTGGTATGTAGAGTGGTTGACGAGTGGTAGTCGATGGTGTGATGCAGTGAGTAGGTGGATTGTGGTGGTTGATGGTTGATGTTGATCCTGGCGGTGTGAATCTCAGTGCTGATGTGGTTGCAGTGCTGATGGTGGTTGCAGGTTGTAGCTGTGGTGCCGGAGTGCTGATGAAGATTAATAAGGTGGATGATGATGATGATGGTGGATAGTTGTAGTGTGGACTATTGATGAAGTGACCACGCGTGGTTTTCCTTCAGTAAATTCTCTGTTGTGGTTGCGCTGGTGACGGCGGCGTAGCTGTTGACAGATGAGTAGATGTTTCGTGAGGCACGGCGTTGGTATTAATACACAAATAAAAGCGGCGATTTGCCCAAATAAAAAAAATATTGAATAAATAGACCCATTCAATAACAACAAAGGCAGTCGTAGCGTTAGCAATTCGTGCCGTGGCTTAATAGCCCACTGACTTAATTATTTGCTCCGGTTATACCACCACCACTACCACCAAGAGTACCAATAATTAATGATGATGTTGATGATGATGACGTTGATGATGATGATGTTAACGCCGTAATCCTTCCACGTGCACGGAGCATGCAGCACAAACACGGGGGGCTATGCCGTCCAAACACTGGCGGCGACTGCAGAGAGAGAGAGAGCGAGAGGGGAGAGAGGGGGTGGAGGGAGGGGAGGGGAGGACATGGAGAGAGAGGGGAGGGAGACAGAGGGAGGGGAGGACATGGAGAGAGAGGGGAGGAGGAGGAGATGGAGGGAGACAGGGTGAGGGAGGGAGAGGAGAACATGGAGAGAGAGGGGAGGGTGACAGGGTGAGGGAGACAGAGAGAGGGGAGGAGATGGAGAGAGAGGGGAGGAGGAGGAGATGGAGGGAGACAGGGTGAGGGAGGGAGAGGAGGACATGGAGAGAGAGGGGAGGGAGACAGGGGGAGGGTAAGGAGGGAGAGGAGGACATGGAGAGAGAGGGGAGGGTGACAGGGTGAGGGAGGGAGGAGATGGAGAGAGAGAGGGAGGGAGAGAGAGGGGAGGAGGTGGAGAGAGAGGGTGATTTAGTATAGATTCATACTTGCGTTTTTTTAAAATCTGTATTGTATTATGATTGTTATTGGGATCAAACATCGAAATGGAATTTTTTGCACTTTCTGTACACAGCATGGACGGGTTGTGCTTTTTTCCCGTAGGATTTTATTGTTTCCGTATGTGATGTTCAGATTTGTGTACAATGAATTTTAGGTGCATCTTGTAGTTTTATTGTTTGTTGAACCCAAATCAAGAGCCAAATGGCTCACAGGGTAAATCCTCATAAATTAAACTGGGTGAGGCAGGGAGAGATAGCTGGGAGTAGATGGAGAGAGGGGGGGGAGGGGAGGGGATGGAGAGTAGAAAGAGAAAGAGTAGGAGGAGGACATGGGGATGCTATGATAGGAGAGAGATGTCGAGGTAGGGATGGAGATAGGAGCATGAAGTGGTAAAGACGAGAGCGAGAGATGTGAGAGGGGAGTGGGTGGGGTACACACGGCCAGGTTGTAAGATGCACCACCAATGTTTACTTTAAAATAGAAAATATGGGGAGTGTACCGTGTAATCCAGAGAATACGGTACTTGCATAACTATCAGGTCTAAGCAAACGGGTCAAGAATTGACCTATTAACCTTTTGACCTAATTATGGCTGCTGATGTGTGCTTTTTAGAATCGCCCACGCTGAATTTGTCTGTTGGGTACCACCTACATTTTTTTTAAGTTTGTAAAAAAAATTACAAATGGCATTGAATTGATGCAAAACGATCACGCAATAAAAAAAAAGAGAGAGGATGGGAGTGAGACGGATCGTGAAATATTTCTTGAAATCTTTCATTAAAAAAGGGGGGAGGGGCACATAAAGCAAAGCATTGGAAAAAAAAACTAAAAACTGAAATGATGAACGAAGCAAAGTGCCGACTACACCGAGCATCTTCTTGTTTCCTCTGATCGTATGCAATAAATAAGTATAACCCGTAAAAACAAAGTTTTTCACTATAAATCCTTTATATGCGTGGCGGCTAGAGTCCTCTCGTCCTCTGGCTTGAGATGGCTTCCACCTATGGGTCAGATGATTGTCTGCCAGTATTAAGCAATTGGTAATTAAATATTTAATTTGTTTTCCCTATACAGTGTAAAATTTTGGAAAAATGTTTTCACGAACATTAATTGTCTCGCACAACGAGTCTGTGTGCAAAATGTCAGCTCGATTGGATCACGGGAAGTGGGTTAAAAAACGAGCAAAAGATTTGCACGGTCCTAAGCAAGCAAGTTAACTTAATATAAAGGATTAAAAAATATATTCGCCCGTGGAGGACGCGGGGATCGATCCCGCGACCTTTGGCATGGGAAGCGAGGGCGCTATCAACTGCGCTACTCCGCCACGGCCTGTGGAGGGGTTACACTCTGGGCTCCTACACTGTGACGTTCAGCCAAAGCCATGAATGAGTTATATTTGAATAATTGTAAAATACATTTTTTTTGCCTAAAAAGTGTAAAATTTTAGAAAAAAAAATTCACGAACATTGTCTCGCACAACGAGTCTGTGTGCAAAATGTCAGCTCGATTGGATCACGGGAAGTGGGTTAAAAAACGAGC